TGTATTTTTGGCAAATTTTTTCTATGTATGTATGAGCCGCTTTTACGGCGCGCTTGGGCGCTCTGTGACGCCTATTCTCCACAGGAATCTGTCATGGTAGAGATCCACCGGAAGCTGGCATCTCTCCATCTCTTCACGGATACCCTCTACCCACCGTTTGGCTGGACGCCCTCTCCGTCGCCTACCTGGGGGGATCCACTCCAACACCTTCTTCGGCAACCTGGTATCAGCCATTCTTTGCACATGCCCATACCATACTAACTGCTTGGTCATGATATCGTGCACAATCGTCCCCTCAACGCCCATTATCTCTCGGACACGTTCATTCCTGACACGTTCTCTCCTCGAGATTCCAGCCGATCGTCGCCAGAAATCCATCTCGGTCGCCTTGAGCATTTCTTGGGTCCGCTTCTTCAACTGCCACACTTCACTGCCATAGGTGATAATAGGCTTGACAACCGAGTTATAAATTCTCTTCTTGTTGTCTTTGGAAATCCTTTGGTCCCAAAGGATCCCATTAAGCATGGCGATGGCTTTCCTTCCTAGAAGATTACGGTCCCGAATGGCCTGATCCAGCTTCCCATCCGAAGTCAGCTTCACCCCCAGGTACTTGTATTGTTCGCAATTTTCTATATGTTGACCATCCTCCAGGACTATGCTTTGCTGAGCACCTCCGACTGACATCTTTTTTGTCTTACGGACACTAACCTCGAGGCCCCATTTGCGGTACTCCTCCACCAACTTCCGGGTCATATACTCTGCGTCATCGTGATCTTGACTTATGACTACCTGGTCGTCAGCAAAGCATAGCGTGAACAGTGTTTCTTGGTTTTTCTAAAATTTTTTTCAAATTTTTTCTATCATTCTGTTAATATGACCGTAATAGCTCAGCTGTTCGATCATGACATCGAATATGATGTCATTTTTTACCTTCTTGATCTGACGCACTCAATTATAACAGATAAATTCCAGTTAAGGCAAAATTGTTTGGGCAACATAAGGGTAGTTTACGCCGAATGAGTGTACTATGGAGCATTACCTAGACATTATTTTGCAATGAGGTACTGCTATTTCTATGTCATCTATAAAAGCACCTATCGAAACTAATGCCTCTGAAGTTGTCTCTAAAATGAACCAGAAATATTAGTTCCTCATCGCAATATGTAGTCCGATTGATCGTAATTAAACAGAAGGGCTTTATATTTTGAAAAACAAATCACGGTCTATTTTGAAGCCGCAGTGAGTAAGCTGCTTTCAAAACCTCCATTCGGGGTTGAATCTCTACCGATAATGACGTCTAATTTTTACGCATAAATAAACTAAGTAATCGCTTGGAAACGCGATGACAGTGCTGTCTGTACCCACGATAAAATCACCGTGGATTCGATGAGCATTTGCCACCGTTCAATGAGTATTTCAGGGCCCAATTCATTAGAGCCTAGCCGATGGGCGGTGCTGCCAGTTGGCAATGAAAAGCCTGATCCTCCACAGGATGGCGCATGTGAGGGTAGTTTGCGACGGGAGCACGGCATCGTCGCTCGGGAAGCTGGGGCGCTGTAACGTCACGGGCCCCGGTAACTAGGCCGCAGGTTCGTAGGCATATCTCATCCCCATCGCTGTTGCAGTATCTCATGGAATCCTTTAGACTTTTCTCCGCTGAATGGATGGATCATCGTCGGCGGGAGAAGGGACCCTAAAGTCAACCAGAACTAAAAATCGTATACAGGGTGTCTGCAAGTCCGGAAAGTCCGGATATAGTACTGATTTTTTAAGGGCGGTCCGGAATTTTGAATCGACTGGAGGGAACTGTTCACAAATACTCGCACTGGATAAAAAAACACATTGTATCTAGAGTCCAGACTCTTGAAAACATTGACAAGAAAGAGAACTCTTGATTCAATCAGATTTAAGCTTAAATCAAAAGGAAATCCGCTCAAATTAAGAGGCTTGGTTCTTGATTTAAGCTTAAATCTGATTGAATCAAGAGTGTTTTTTCTTGTCGATTTTTTTAAGAGTCTGGACTCCAGATCCAATGTGTTTTTTTTCCAGCGAGTACTGAAAAAGTGCGGAATTTCGCAAGAAGGTCCGGAATTTGTGCCATTTTTGTCGCAATTCGAACAAGAATTTCAAATTTTTGAAAATTTTCGAATTTCGTCAATTGGAGGCACCGAAAAAGTCCTGAATTTCTCTTATGAGGAGGTACTGAATTTATTGGGAATGGACTGGAAATATACTGTAAAAGTACTGATTTTTGGCCAACCTGCTTCGGTAGGCACCCTGGAATCATACATACCAGAGAAGCCTTCCACGAAAATTTCACGACAGGAAGCCCCCCTAGGTTCCAGTTCCAAAAATGCAGTCTCGGATAAGAATGTTGAGGTTATGAAATTTTCGGATTATTGCCCAACTTAAATCTCTTCGTTATTACAAGAACGAACTCTTCCATCGATATTTTCCCATTAGAAGCTATTGTAAAAAAAGCGAGTTTTAAGGTGTTGATTGCGAGCACCTTGATAAATCGATAATTTTCAATAAGTTAAATGATATTTGTAGATCAATCGATTCGTCGTTAAGCACGCCATGCCACTGAACCGAACGGCGCGAATCTTTTTTTGGAGGAAACCAGAGCGGGAAAAAAAATTTTCTTGGATACTACTTTTCATGCTGTTCAGCCATAAACGTTGCTATAACGTTAAAATCTATTTACCGTTTTAAATTTGAGTGAAGGGAGGGGGGCCTGCAACTTCGAGGGTGAGCTGGTGTTACAAAAAACATTCAGCGCCACAAAGTTTTAATTTGTGACTTAGGGAAAAAAGTATTAAAATCTCAACGCTTGCTCTGAGAAAACATGATAAAGTCATCAAGGTTGGTATACCACGGGGATTTCTGGGTAATTTTACCGTTCTCTGACTATTTTATTCGTTTTTTTTTCTTTTTACCATGTACAGCCAAATTACCGATGAAAAAAAAGCTGGTAACAAGACTTGTTAAAGTTTAAAAAAATTACCAAGCATTCAGAGAAGTCACCACGGGGATTGCACGTGATTTCATTGCTCTCCGGTAATGTTACCCTCTTTTTTACCATATACGGTAAACTAAGGGTGAAAACTGGTAAAATTGCCAGGCACTACCGGTCATCAGTAACTCCTCGTTTTAATGGTGATTTCAATGGGGTTTCCTTATTTTCTCCGCGGCATAATGAAAAACAACATATATTTCGTGGGAAATTTCGTGGCAACAAGTGGCAACTTTGATTGCTGTCCTGGCAGTGCGGCGCTAGGAGACGGAGGGGGTGAAGTGGAGGGGGCCGTGGCGCACCCTTTGTCGTATTCGATATGCACATCGTCCTCCCCGGCCTCCCCACCCCCCTGGTTTTCCCGCTGCAGTATCTCCCCCTTCCTTTCCCTCAGTAATTTAATATCTTGCCCAGCAACAATGATGCGCTCCTACTTTCCCGCGTTAAGCGTGTTGCCCGCCTAGCGAGGAATTTTTTAGAGCTCAGCAGGCTGATTATTGAATTTGATAGATACAGCTATAGACAAAGAGGACAAAAGAAAATTGAGCAGTCCTGTTGGTGGGAGTGGGTAGTTGCAATAGACAAAGGAGGTTAGTCATGGACTAAACGACTACCGATGAGAGTCCCTACAGTTTTTCCATCATTTCCCCTCTAAGTCGATGAAACCCATCAGTTTGAACCAAAAAGCCCTGCATAGACGATCAAATTCCGAACCAATTCCGATCAAAGTAGACATGCTGATGACTGGTGGTCTCCATCAACCATCAAATTTTGACGGGCCGCACTTTTTTGTTCAAAGTAAGATCAGACCGGAGTACCATCATTCATCATTTCCTGCCACAGGAAACATTTCTGCCAAGTTTTCATTTTAAAATGAAGCAAATTAATGAATTTCAGACTGATGACTCCCGACACTTTGATGCTTTGATGTTCGGGAATTTGATCGTCTATGCAGGCCTAAAGGACCGCTTCATTTCCCCTTTGTCTCCTTTATCCATCGCTTTTTCTATCAATCGCAATAACGTGACTTAGCGTCGGCAACGAATGGACGGCAGTTTCTTTCAAATCTGATGCTGTATCATCGTTTCTAATCTCGCCAAACATAGCGTCACCGATAGTGCAAAAAGCATATTAGCACCTACAAGAGTGCGGGAATACTTCACGCATTGCGCCGAACACAGTGCGATCGCTGATCGGTGCGGAAGAATTTTAGCGCCTACAAGACTGTAGGAATACTTCGCGCATTGCGCTAAACACAGGGCGGTCGCTGGCCGCCGTGAAAAGCGTAACGGGTTAAGTCGGCAATCACATAACTCGGTTTGCGACGTCGCAGACATCCTGTCATACTTTATTTTTTAAACGGAAAACTACTCAACGGCAATTCTTTAAAACTGCCGTGATCTTTCTTCTGTGTGCGAGGAAAATTCTGCAAAAACTTCAAGGAATGATGTCAATTTGTTCCATTTTAGAAAATTAACATAGCGGCGGAGATTTTCAGTCACCGCGAAAGAGATATGTGATAGCGGACTTACGCCGCGCCGTCGAAATATTGTTTTATGACGGTCAGGATCTAGACGAATTCGTAAGGGAATGCTAAGTTTTCCAGAAAATTTGTATATTCATCAAACAATCGATCACGACAACAAGAAATGTCTTCTTTTTCCGCTCCGAGACCAGTCTCTTAAGGCACAGGACCGCGTATACTGAGAGTATGAAACTCTAAGAAATATTCTAGGAGTTTAATGTGGGGTCTAAATGAGCGACGGTGAATATGATGCCAAAGTAAGTGTCATATTTGATGGCGAAAATCCGCTTGAAGTTGAAGGCATGTTTCAGAACGGTTGTACGTGCGGTGTTCCGATGGGATACGCTGTGCCAAACAATACATTTGGCTTTTTGTGATAATCGCAAAACTAAATTTTTAACCTGTGGATACTATTTTATTACGTAATTAACATTATGCTTGTTTTCTTGTCTGTTTCAGTTCGTTTACACGATAGTATACAAGAAGAAAATTGTCATTTCTTAGTATTCGATTTGTAAGTACTATTTTTGAACTACTTACCCTGTCTCCTCACTTAAAAGCCATCCACGCATCAATCAGTAGCGTGGCGTGCTTTGCAATGTATCGATTGATCTGCCATGTAAACCTATGGGAAAAGATCGATTAATAGGATGTTCGCAGCCAACACCTTATTAACCGATTATTTTCCATAGCTTCAAATGGAGGAATATCGATAATTGAACTTTCACGCCTCGCTACTGATGTATTTCATCCCGCGGGCCGCGATTATAGAAGAAATAAAGCAGCCCGATAAGGCACTGAAATGCCAAATATTGTATGTTTCATATAGGACTTTGTCTTGTCTTATCTAGAGTCCCTATATACTGAGAGTAAAGACAATGAAACCATTTCTGATTGGTTCCCGTGTTTTAGGTCTTCTCAGTATCACAAACGGGAATAAAGATTACATTTTTACCAATTGCAAAGATTATAAACTGGAATGGACTGGGGAATCGGAGGTACGGCAAGGAACAAATGAAATGGGAGTGAGGACGGAGACAGGAATTTGGGAATGGGTTGATCAAAGATTACAGCAAACGTCCGATTTGTGTAATCTTTATTCTCGTTCATGACACCCACAAGCGGCACTGTCTCAACTCTCTCTATGAAGGGACTCTAGTCTTATCCTGGCGGCAAAGTTTCAGTAATCGAGCCGTTTTCTTTTTTTATGTCCCATGCATTTTGTTGTATTTACAGACTTGGTTATCCATCCATTTACTGTATTTGCTTTTTGTTTTATTATTTAGGATAATTTTTTATTCTCTACTATATTTACGTATTTTCAATAAAAGTTTAAAAAGGGAGTATGTCTCACTGTGATTTAATTCTAACTTAGTCCATGTGCTCATTCGTCAAACTCACACGACTCGCCTAGTCATCATGAGGCGAGGATGAATGTTGCTGCCCTAGAGACAATTTCAAATCCCGTTGTCCTTTTCCTCCGAGTTGCTATTGCATAGACTCTATTATACATGCACTGTATCTGCTAAGAAGTCTCGACGGTATGCACAATATAATACCCGCGGGTTGAATTTGAGCGTCAAAAAATGATGGCACCACTGCCCATTTATATCTGTCCTCTCTGTCAGCTACTACGTCGAGGGCGGAAGAAAGCGGATGAAAGCAGCCAGTTAAAATATGCTCAGACGAGTCAGTTTCTGTTGCCACGTTGAGATTTCAACTCGGGAGCTAAAAATTATCTCAATTCGGTCTTTTGAGTAACGAAAGAAACCTTCTGAATGATGGATTGAGCTTAAATCAAAGCTGGATTTCAGACAGTTCTAAATAACCGAACCAAGAACTTGGCGTAAACAAGAAAAACTCTGAATTGGTGCCTGCAGATAGAGCGGTTTTCAAATGACATTTTTGCAGATAGTCGGAAATCACTTTTAACAGCACAACTGCTTATAGAGGTCTTGAAGAGGAATAGGTATAACATTTAAAACGTGTGTTTTATCGGTTCGATTTTGACTCAAATCGGTTTCTTTCTATTTAGTATGAGCTTAAATTTCTAAATTATTAACCTTATGAAAAGTAGATACAAATGTAACACATCGTAATAAAAACCCATGTAAGTTCTTTGAATGCGCTTATTTTTTATCATTGTGCCAGGACAAAAAATGCTCACCAAAATCTAAGTTGGGTTTTGTTGGGTTAAGCAACTAAACTAACTCCGAAAAGAAGCGTATAGTATTCTGACAGATGAAGGCGCTCCGCACCGAGATTAGGAAATAGATCATTTTCAAAGCCATGATCCAGCAACTGTTTCGATCGATACTTTTGTTTTTCCTTGTTTTCTTTTCATTATGAATATTGATGTTAACCTACAAAAATGCATCCGTTAGTTTGCGACGTTATGAACTACTTGTGATATTGCATTACAACATAAATATTTAGCCAAAAAAATTGTTTTAGCTACGCACAGTATGTGAGGTAATCTGAAGAGCAACCATAGAGAATAATTTTAACAATTTTTCTCGAAGATAGTACACTTAACCTTAGAGTTAGTGGATTTTGTAGGGGATCTATCACTCAATCATCAAATGTGAGCCCTTTTTTCCATTTAAATGGAGGAATCTTACTAAACTTTTGAAATTGCGAAATGGATAAAATGTTAAATTTCAATTTGAAAATTTTGCCTTCGGACTCTCTCTCTCATAAGGGCAGACAGTACTAATCGTTTTTTTTTGATAGAGCATCCTTTAATCCGTCTCCAAATACAATGATACTCGGTAAGTAGTACTCCCAGCGCGATTGGCTCAAATGTTATCTTCTCATCACCTTCCTCGCGTCCTCGAATTCGAAGTCCTCGTGTCACTTATCGACGTTGAAATTATCGCACAAATTATCATTCGTCGCACTTTGCAACGATCCAAATCTCCCATCACTTTTTTTGTTTCGTTTCCTTTTTTCCCCTTTTTATAGGAGGCATAAGAATAGGTCTCTTGCACACAAATGATACGGACAACTTACGTAGTAAATAATTATATAAACTTAAAACTTTTTTTGGCAAAACCGATTACTTACTTATTTTCTATTCACGATGGCCATTTCGGGTGGTCAGGCCGCCCGAACGTAACGCGGCGCGCGTAACGCGTACGTGGTTTACGTAGTAAACTTTTCGCTCTCCCACGAAGAAAAAATGCTGCGATAAATGCTTCAAAACGATTAATGTCGTGCGTGTATCATATGAGTGATGACGAAAGATGATGTTGTTTGTTAACTTACTCGTACGTTAGATTCTCTTGCGTTTCGATGGCCAAAGTGCGAAGTCCATTGTGATTTTCCAAAATTTCCGCTCCCGAAAAGAAACAAGCAAACTTTATACCTTGAAAATTTGGAACATTCTGCTACCAGAGAGGACAAATCAAGGAAGTTTTTGAAGAAACGGGTTGACTTTAGTTTTCCAAAGGAAAAATTATGTATGGCAGGAAGTCTGCAACGTCTAAAACGGGAGGCACGTGGATCCATACTTCGGATATAGATATCTCTTGCCCTAGGCAATCTTGATTAATGGCGACGAGGACAAAAGGGCCAGCCCTGCAAACTTGGAAATGCGTCTTACGGACTACGCAGGTAATCATTGTGAATTGAGGAGCATACTTTTAACCTTCCTGACTTGCCTCAAAGTGATTTTAGTGCGATTTTACTCACGCTGAAATTTCACTTAGTTGGCTACTTCTGCCGTGGGCGACAGGCCCGTTGCCTTCTTTTCGGATGTCGGACGACTGGTTAAGCTATTTGATGAAAGTCCTCTCAATTTAATTTTATTCAGGGAACGTGCGAGTTGGAAGTTTGGCAGCGTTTTGATTCGCACATCCCATGTCCCGGGCTGAAATCAGCGAGAGCGTCAAGTCGCCAACTCTTGGCTAAGTTCAGCGGGACGGCGCACAATGGAGCGAGAGAGACCGGACACCATGTGAAAACTTTAAAAGCTTATATCCTCGTTAACAGAAAACTTTAAAGTTTTAAAAACGGTCCATCGGTTCCTCGTAAAATTGTCTTCACGATAACCCCCTTTTAATACTTATAATTTGACGATTAATATGAAAATTTGATGATTCAGTCAAAAATGTTATGTCTGGTCCCTACCAAAGGAGTGTTGTACCATGTAGCGGCGGCGGCGTACGTGCCGAAAGGGCAAATGGGGTGCTCGCGCCCGCCCTGAGTAATGCCTGTACTTTTCGGAGACGTCTCTTTTCTCCGACTCCGCGGCTTGACGCTGTCAAGTCTCCGTGAAAAATCCTTTTCCCGGCAGTCCCCTGAGCACCGGAAAGCTGCCTCGAGATCTGACCGAACGTGGCTTTTTCACGGCTCTTAACTCGCTGGCCGGTCTTAGAATGTTGACGCACCAACTCGGAAGTGCGGCATCGTTGCGCGTCGAGCCCCGTGGCGGCGTGTGGCTGTATCGTGACCGACGCACGGTGGATCGAATCAGTAGGAAAGGTCGGACAAAATTTGGAAATTTTGAACGCTCATAACTCCGTTTATAAAAAACTTAAACGTTCTAAAACTGGGTTTATCGGTTTTGTCGAGAAATTTTCTTCTGTAAGCACCCCTTGCAATTTAAAATGTGACGAAATAAACATCAAAATTTGCAGTTTCAGTCAAAAATTTCTTGTCCGACTCCTCTAATTGACCCGATCCACTGTGCGGCACGGCGTACCGCAAGTGTGAGCGAAGCCATAGCGCCTTAACTTTTTCCGTCCCGCAACACGCACGACCGTTGAGCTCGAGCATTGTTGCGTCATGGCTTCAATGCGGCTCCTTCAAGGCTCACGCTTCTGAATTAGCGCAGGTATGTGCGCACAGTACCGTATGGGGGACTGTTGTCACAGGTTTAGCAATCCTGCGGACCCCAGCTGGTAGCCCCTGCCTCAAAGGGGGCAGTGGAGATGGTCACCGGCCTCTGGGCGTATGAACCACCTGCTAGAAGGGCAGACAGGGCTCTGAGCTGAAGTGAAAGCAACCTGTCTAGGAGAGGCAACTCCGAAATCAAACCCTGGTCCTCCAGGTTGGGGGTTGAGTCATCGGGCTAACTCCCCGGTACTTGTAAAAAGTTTTACTGTTAAACGACCTAACAATACAAGCCTCGGTACCACTAGAACTAAACGGACACGTCGACAAAAATTGAGAAAACGGACAATGGTATTTGGGACGTGGAATGTCCAAGGCATTTCAAATAAGTTACCGGAAGTGATATCGGAGATTCAGAAACTTGGAGTGGATGTCGCTGTTCTTACTGAGACCAAGAAAAAAGGGCACGGGTCAGAGAATTACGGTGACTATGATCTATTCTACAGCGGCGTAGCCAAAGATCAGCGTGCTCAGCAAGGAGTAGCAATACTTTTGCGGAGAAGCCTACGTAAGTTCGTGGGCACTTGGGAGGCCGTCAACCAGCGCATTATCAAAATGAACCTTAACCTGTACGGACATAAGATCACGCTGCTCGGAGTATACGGTGTAAATGATGAT